CACCCCCACCACACCCCACCACCACCACCACGCACACCACCACCCACACCCCACCTACCACCACCCACACAAAAGCACCAACCACCACTCACAGCACCACCCACACACAGCACCAAAAACACCACACAACAGCACCACCACACCACACCCCAAACCCACACACAGCAACCCCCACACACACCACCCACCACCCACCACCACCACCACCAACAGCACCACCCCACCACACACAGCCACCACCACACAAAAGCCCCACCACACACACACCACCACACACACAGCACCCCCACCACACACAGCACCCACCAACACAGCACCCCCACCACACACAGCACCACCAACCACCCACAAAACCCACCCCCAAACACACAGCACCACCACCACACACAGCACCCACCACCACACCACACACAGCACCCCCAAAACCACACACAGAAACCACCACCAAACCACACACAGAAACCACCCCCACACAGCACCACCACCACACACAGCACCACCACCACACACAGCACCACCACCAACACACACGAAACCCCCACACAAGCACCCACCACACACACAGCAACCATCACCACCCACCACCACCCACACAGCACCACCACAACACAGCACCACCACCCCACGGGGCACCACCACCACACACACACACCAAACACACACCACCCACACAGCCCACCAAACACACCACCCCCAAAAGCACCACCACACACAGCACACCCACACCACACACCACACCACCCCCACCCCCACCACCACCACCACACACAACCACCACCAAACACACACCACCACCACCCCCACCACACACAGCATCACTACCACACACAGCACCACCACACACACAGCACCCCCAACACACAACACCACCACCACAACACGCACCCCCCCACCATACACAGCACCACCACACACAGCACCACCACCACACACAGAAACCACCACACACACAAATTCACACCCACCACCACACACAGCAACCCACCACACACCCACGCACCCACCACACACAACACCACCCCCACCACACACAGCCACCACCACCACACAACACACCAACCCCACCCACACACAGACCAACCACCACCACACACAGCACCACCACCAAAACACACAGCACCACCACACACAAAGCACCACCACCACCCCCACACACCACCACCAAAACACAGCACCCCCCCACCACAACAGCACCACCACCCCCCACACAGCACCACCACACACAAAGCACCACCACCACACACGGCACCCCACAACACCCCAGCACCAACACCACACACAGCACCACACCACACACAGCACCACCCCCACACACGGCACCACAACCCACACACAGCACCCACCCCACACAGCACCACCACCACACACAGCACCCCCAAACCAAACCCCACAGCACCACCATCACACACAGCACCACCACCACCACACACAAACACCACCACACACACAGCACCACCACCACACAAAAGCACCACCACACACACACCACCACCACCACACACAGCACCACCACCACACACAGCACCACCACCACACACAACGAAACCACCATCCCCCCACACAGCACCATCACCAAACCACAGCACCACCACCAAACACAGCACCACCAACCACACACAGCCCCACCACCACACACAACCACCCACCACCCAACACACAACACCACCACTTCACAAAGCACCACCACCACACACAGCACCCCACCACCACACACAACACCACCCACAACCCCCACAGCACCACCACCACACACAGCACACCACCACACACAGCACCACCCCCACACAGCACCCCACCACACACAGCACCACCACCACAAAACAGCACCACACCAACACAGCACCACCACCACACAAAAGCACCACCACCACCACAGCACCACCGCCACAAAACCAGCCCCACCACCACACAAAAGCACCACCACCACACCAGCACCACCACCACCACACAGCACACAACCCCCACACCAGCCCCCACCACCACCACAGCACCACCACACACAAAGCACACACCACCACACACAGCACCCACCACCACACACAGCACCACACCACACAACAGCACCACCACCACACACAGCACCACCACCACACACAGCACCACCACACACAAAGCCCACCACCACACACAGCACCACCCCCACACACAGCACCACCACCACAAACAGCACCACCACCACAAAAACAGCCCCACCACCCCCACCAAAGCACCACCAACACCACACACGGCACCACCACCACACAGCACCAACACCACACACACCCACCACCACCACACACAAGCACCACCACCACACACGGCACCACCACCACACACAGCACCACTACACACAGCACCACCACCACAACAGCACCACCACCACACAAAACACCACCCACTACCCCCACAGCACCACCACCACACACAGAAACCACCACACACAGCACCACCACCACCCCCACACAGCACCACCACCACACACAGCACCACCACCACCCCACAGCACCACATCAAAACACAGCACCATCAACCCCCACACGCACACCACCACAACAACAGCCCCACCACCACACAAAAGCCCCACCAACAAAACACAACAACCACCACCACAAACAAAAACCACCACTTCACACAGAAACCACCACCACACACAGGCCCCACCACCAAACACCCCCAACACCACCACTACACACAGCACCCCCACCACACACAGCACTACCCACCACACACACAGACACCCACACACACACCCACCACCACACACAGCACCACCACCACACACAAGCACCACCACCAACACACCCACCACCACCAACACAGCACCCCCACCCACTCACAGCACCACCGCCCACACACAGCCCACCACCACACACAGCACCACCCACCACCACCCCAAGCACCATCACCACACACAGCACCATCACCACACACAGCACCCACCACACACCCCACAGCACCACCCACCACACACAGCACACCCCCCAAACCACACACACACCACCCCACACACACACACCACCCACCACACACGCACCACCACACACAGCACCACCACCACACACAGCACCACCCACCACACACACATGCACCACCCCCAAACACAGCACCACCACACCACAGCACCACCACCACACACAGCACCACCACCACAACAGCACCACCACCACCACACACAGCACCACCACAAAACAGCACCACCCCACACACAGCACCACCACACACAGCACCACCACCAAAACAAAAGCCCACCACCACACACAGCACCAAACACCACACATAGCACCACCACCACACACACCACCCCAACCACCACACACAGCACCACCAACCACACACACCACCACCCCCAAACACCCCACCACCACCAACCACACCCCCAACCCACCAACACACCAGCACCACCACCACACCACAGCACCACCACCACACACAGCACCTACCACACACAGCACCACCACCACAACGCCACCACCACACACAGCACCATCCCCCACAAAACCCACCCACCATCACCACACACAGCACAATCACCACACACAGCACCACCACCAACACACACACCACCATCACCACAGCACCATCACCACAACAAGCACCACCACCACACACAGCACCACCACCACACAAAGCACCACCACCACACACAGCACCACCCCCACACAGAAACCACCACCACACACAGCACCACCACCACACACAGCACCACCACCACACACAGCACCACCACCACACACAGCACCACCACCACACACAGCACCACCACACACAAAGCACCACTTCTCCTCCACCTCCATTTTCATATTCATGTCTTTATTCTCTATCATTTTCCTCTCCTTTTTATATTATTCTTATTTCTTTTCTATTATTCTTATTTTGAACAATTAAAATCAGTATTTCTGCCAAAGTTAATTTTAAAGATATTAATTCTACACTCTTTGGGAAGTAAGTAGCAGGATAAGAGACGGAGCCAGGAGCTGAGACTCGACCCCCTGCTACCTCAAATAGGTGGATACAAATGGGTGAGTACAAGTTAAAGTTGGAGTTTGTTATGGGCTGCTCGGGGAAAATATATTCAATGGTCTTGGACCATAGTCTGAGACCGGGCAACGGAGGTCTTGAAAGAGACACCCAGAATAAAACTAATGTTGCGTGTGTCCGTCTTGTGGTATAATAGCTGTAGTCTGAGTTGTTTACATCGGTCCAAGTGATAGCGTGTGTGCGTCTGGAGGATTGAAACTCTGCTACCTCTAATCGCCTCAGAACTACGTCTTCGAGGGTGACGGACTTATGACATCGTCTTCACATCTCTACTGCTTCTTCTAACTCCTCTGTACTCGACTGAAGAAGCTTACTGCGTAGGCGAAACGTTTCGGAATAAAGATACCTGTCATTTTAGCTATTAATGAAAATATCAGCAATGTAAAATTGCATTAACATACAATATATACAAAATAGTTACCGAGTCCTTTCTCTGAGGTCGCAATAACAACACAGATATATCGCTTCGTCTAAGATAATATTTAATGTTTTGTCCTTGATAATGTTTAGTCCTTAATAATGTTCAGTCCTTGATAATGTTCACTCGTTGAGAGATGCCTACGCTACACGTCCCTAATTGACTCAGTTATAGATCTGCCGAGTGAACTTCACATTATATTCTGAATTTACGTAGACTACTGCTCATGGCTTCAAGTCGTATACTCACTATGTATACTCAACAATTTACTCACCCTGTAGATTCTCTTATTCCTCTATATGTAATACTGCACAAAATTTAATGAATCATCTATAAGTTCACTGAAATCAAAAACATTAGGCCTTTCTTTCTCTAAAGATTTTTTTAAAACAAAAATCTTGATTGTAATGAAAAATTGACTCAGAAGGTTTAACAATCTACTCACACTGTAGATTCATCATACTACTCACCCTAACTGAAATGTAATTTTTGATGTTTATATTGGAATTTATGGTATCTATGTTGAATTTTTTGGTAATCATGCTGTGATTTTTAACAGACTTACCCTGCAATAGATCTGAGAACTGAGATGTTGCCCAGAGCTGAGAGGACCATGAGGCAGGAGTATGCGCTGATGGTAATGACGTGGGAGGTGTTGAAGAGCATCTCCTGCGGGAGAGTTTTCACCACGCCCTCCGTCACTCCACTCTCGTTATATGAGGACACATTGACCAGCGTCTGATTCACCGCCTCCTCCAGGATGTCTATCGGGAAGGATTCATCTAGGCTTCCCCGCAAGGACAGAAGGCGGACAGATGATGTCAGGTCTTGTTCCTCTTGGTGCGGTCCATCCAAAGACGTCTTCAGGAGCGCCGAGTTCTTCGCCGGGAAGTCTTCACGATAAGAAAATGTCTGTTCGATCTCACTGCGCGAAACTTTGCTGGTGTTTTGGATCATGTCGATAAGTTTTCTACTCAGCGTTTTACTGTTGTATAAGCGTTACGAACCCGGATAACGCAAAGATATATTACTTTTATCCAAGACTGAAATAACTGCAGCCGTTTATAACAAAAGCCCTCACTTCTTTCTCCCAAAACCACAGTATCCAGGAGCTATCCACTTGTATAACCTGTTGTTTACACTTAATGTTTATGACTTTCTCCCATTCCAGAGTCTTATTCAGCTAAGCTCGAAGACCGAGTTATAAAAATTACTAAAAGAATGTAAAGAGTCCTTGAATTTTTTTTAAATGCCTTTGGCTCGTTTTCTTTACAGAGGTTTAGGCTGGCACTAGGGGATGTTCTTGCATTTATAAAATCATGCTGTGGAGACCTCATCTATGGGCAGTAACTACCAGAGCGCCGGGTAGCTCAAACATTTTTCTTAGCCACTGGCTGTATGACCCCCATACGAGTTCAATGCACATTTTGTAATATAATATTAATAATAAACTCTGATGCGAGCATTTTCCTGGAAGAAGAAAATAAGATAAGCAGCTGCAACGCTGAGCTTAGTGTTTTCCCTAGTTTTGTGAGCTAAGTCTGGAAGCAGTTTTCCCTGCTGGAAGAAGCTATATTGATACTGAGAATATGGATGAAAGGTCACTGGAATCGTTTCGGTTCTGGGATCTGGGAGAGTGGAGTGACAAAGGTCCCAGGACCTTGTTTACGCCAGCAAAGATTTCCTAAGTGAAAGCACTTGAGTCCTTCCAATTCTCCTGAGTCAAGACTGAAAGCAATTCCCTAAAATCTTGTCTCAAGAAGAGTTCTGTCCTTTCGTCAACCGCACGTCACCGACACGCACCTCTGGTTGCCTCCCCAGACCATCCAATCACTGAGAGTATTCCTCAGTCCTTGCCCCGTCAACAGTCACTCACTGGAACTCAACACCCTCCCGTCCAAGAATCACCTGCTGGAACTCTCAACACCCGCCCGTGCAAGAATCACCCACTGGAACACCCACCACTCGCCCCGTCCGACAATCATTCTCCCCACGTCATTTTTCAACCCTTTACCGACCAATCTCTATTTCAACTGTCGACAAAGCTACTTACATTTAGCGAGCAAATAAAAATAGAAGGATTTGTTCAGTATTGTCCACATACGTTCGGTTGAGAGATCTCTAGTAGCGAGTATCTCCCGTCTTGACGGCTGTCTCTCTAAGGGTCGAGGGAGATCTTAGAAGGCTTCTCATTGTGGTAAGGAAGAATGGGAGGGTTTATTGGACATGGCTGACTGAACAGTAGAGACTCGGGTCACGAGAGAGGAGAGTGGGAGAGAAAGAGATAATTGGAGAGAAACATGAGGAGAAAAAGAGACAAAGATCACAAGACAGAAGAGACAGTTTACAAGAGAGAGAAGACAGACACAAATCACACAAGAAGAGAGAGAAGCAAATCACATTAAAAGAGAGAGAAACAACCACACCAAAATCTCGAGAAAGAAGAGAGACAAATCACATGACAGAGATGCAAATTTCAAGAGAGAAGAGAGACACACTTTAAAGAGGAGAAAGACACAAATCACTAGAGAACAGAGACACAAATCATAAGAGAAGAAATAGACAAATCGCAAGAGAATAGAGACACAAATAACAGGATGACATAAATCACAGAGACAAATCCCGAAAGACAGAAAAGAGATACAGATCACAAGAGATAGAAGAGAGAGAGACACAAATCACCAGAGATTAGAGTGAGACAATATCATAATTGGCTCAAATAGTTAACTTTACTCGAAAAAATCACAATCCTGAGGACAGATCTACAAAATAAATCAGAAACAAATCATATACGTTAGCATAAATCTAAAAAGAAAAAAAAAACGACTAAGAATATAGGCCTAGGGATGATATGATCTCAAAACACTTCGGGAATTCTGAATCAAAATTCCGGAGAATTTATTTTAGTTTCATTGATTTCGAAGAGCTAAAACAGTGTGGGGCCACTCTTGGTCAAGGAGTGGCGGGGGCTCGATCCTCCGTCTACTGACGTAGGCCGGCTTGTCCCTCCTCAGCCCAAAGAAGTGAAAGAGAACAGAGAAAACAGAAAAAAAGAATAATGTTGAGTGTGCTTTATAAACGTCAACTTGACGCGACACAGTAAATCAATATCGTAAACCAATAGTGTAAATCAATAGTGTAAATCAATAGTGTGAATCAATCACTGCATTTATCTTCAATTGTCGTTTGAAATTCTATTTTTCGTAATAATGTAACTGCATACACCTGACATATTATTTTATTCTTCTCTCTCTCTCTGCTTGCCTGTCTATCTGTCTCTGTCTCTGTATGGCTGTCTCTCTGTTTCCCTGCCTATCTCTGTCTCTGTCTATGTATGGTTGTCTCTCTGTTTGCCTATCTGTTTCTGTCTCTGTTTGTCCGACTATCTTTGTCTCTGTCTGGCTGTCTCTCTGTTTGCCTGTCTATCTCTGTCTCTGGCTGTCTCTCTGTTTGCCTGTCTATCTCTGTCTCTGGCTGTCTCTCTGTTTGCCTGTCTATCTCTGTCTCTGGCTGTCTCTCTGTTTGCCTGTCTATCTCTGTCTGGCTGTCTCTCTGTTTGCCTGTCTATCTCTGTCTCTGGCTGTCTCTCTGTTTGCCTGTCTATCTCTGTCTCTGGCTGTCTCTCTGTTTGCCTCTCTATCTCTGTCTCTGGCTGTCTCTCTGTTTGCCTGTCTATCTCTGTCTCTGGCAGTCTGTCTCTCTCCCTCTCTCTCTCGTTCTCCCTGACACACGCACACACATCTCGCAGTCGTGAATGATGGAACAAGGGTGGAACAAGGATAGAATAAGGGTGGAACAAAGGTAGAACAAAGTTAGAACAAGGGTGTAACAATGGTAGAACAAGAGTGGAACATTGGTGGAACAAAGTTGGAACAAGGATTGAACAATGGTGGAACAAGGGAAGAACAAGGGTGGAACAAAGTTAGAACAAGGGTGGAAAAATGACTGAACAATAGTGGAACAAGGGAAGAACCAGGGTGGGACAATGGTTATAGAAAAAAGTTAGAACAATGGTAAAACAATATTGAGACATAGAACAAAGTTAGAACAAGGGTGGAACAACGGTGGAACAAGGGTAGAACAATGGTAGAACACTACACAAATAACCCGCACATAAAAGAGAGAAGCTTACGACGACGTTTCGGTCCGACCTGGACCATTTACAAAGTCACACTAACCAGAAGTGGAGCTCCACTTCTGGTTAGTGTGACTTTGTAAATGGTCCAGGTCGGACCGAAACGTCGTCGTAAGCTTCTCTCTTTTATGTGCGGGTTATTTGTGTATTGTTCCAGTCACGGTATTGTGCCTTTTTTTGTTATTAATGGTAGAACAAGTGTGGAATGGTGTAACATTGGAAGAACAATGGTGGAACAAGGATGGAAGAAGGGAAGAACAAAGGTGGAACAATATTAGAACAAGAGTGGAAAAGGGGAAGGACAATGGTGGAACAAAGGTTGAACAAGGGAAGAACAATGGTGGAACAGATGAAGAACAATGGTGGAACAAGGGTTGAACAAGGAAAGAACAATGGTGGAACAAAGGAAGAACAATGGTGGAACAAGGGTTGAACAAGGGAAGAACACTGGTGGAACAAAGGAAGAACAATGGTGGAACAAGGGAGGAACAATGGTAGAACAAGGGTGGAACAATGGTAGAACAAGGGTGGAACAATGGTAGAACAAGGGTGGAACAAGGGAAGAACAATGGTGTAATATGGGTGGAACAAGGGCTGAACAGTGGTGGAACAAGAGAAAAACATTCGTGGAACAAGAGAGGAACAGGGGAAAAGCAGTGGTGGAACAAAGCTGGAACAAGGGAAGAACAATGGCGGAACTAGGGTGGAATAAGGGTGGAACAATTGTAGAACAAGGGTGGAACAATGATGGAACAAGGGTAGAACAATGCAGTAACAAGGGTGGAACAAGGGTGGAACAATGCAGTAACAAGGGTGGAGCAATGCAGTAACAAGGGTGGAACAAGGGTGGAACAATGCAGTAACTAGGGTGGAACAATGCAGTAACAAGGGTGTAACAATGCAGTAACAAGGGTGGAACAAGGGTGGAACAATGCAGTAACAAGGGTGGAACAAGGGTGGAAAAATGCAGTAACAAGGGTGGAGCAATGCAGTAACAAGGGTGGAACAATGCAGTAACAAGGGTGGAACAATGCAGTAACAAGGGTGGAACAAGGGTGGAACAATGCAGTAACAAGGTGGAGCAATGCAGTAACAAGGGTGGAACAATGCAGTAACAAGGGTGGAACAATGCAGTAACAAGGGTGGAACAATGCAGTAACAAGGGTGGAACAATGCAGTAACAAGGGTGGAACAATGCAGTAACAAGGGTGGAACAATGCAGTAACAAGGGTGGAACAAGGGTGGAACAATGCAGTAACAAGGGTGGAGCAATGCAGTAACAAGGGTGGAACAATGCAGTAACAAGGGTGGAACAATGCATTAACAAGGGTGGAACAATGCAGTAACAAGGGTGGAACAAGGGTGGAACAATGCAGTAACAAGGGTGGAACAATGCAGTAACAAGGGTGGAACAATGCAGTAACAAGGGTGGAACAATGCAGTAACAAGGGTGGAACAATGCAGTAACAAGGGTGGAACAAGGGTGAAACAATGCAGTAACAAGGGTGGAACAAGGGAGGAAGAAGAATCAGGCTGCTACCACAGTTCCCTCAGGAGACAGTTACTGAGAACAAACATTAAGGAGCACACAGCATCACCAGCTGGCAATACCAGATAATGTCTTCAATGTGTTAGTTATATTCTGGTGTAAAGTGGGAACTGTGGCCGCTTTTAGCCGGATGCTAAGTGATTGTGTGTGTGTGCGTGCGTGTGTGTGTGTGTGTGTGTGTGTGTGTGTGTGTGTGTGTGTGTGTGTGTGTGTGTGTGTGTGTGTGTTGTGTGTGTGTGTGTGTGTGTGTGATGATGGTTGTTGTTAGTAGTGGTGGTGGTGGTGGTGGTGGTGGTGGTGGTGGTGGTGGTGGTGGTGGCGGTGGTGGTGGTGTTGCTGTTAGTGTTAGAATCAGCGTTGGGAAAGTACTGACCATTGAGCTCAGACATCTATGGACATCGACAGAAATTATTTATCAACACTGACAGACCATTCCTGGTTAATAACAATACCGCAGGCACCATGGGCCCGGCTGCCCAGTACCAGTACTTTGGGGGTCCTTGTCAGTACCCAGGGCAGAGTAGCCTCTCACAACTCCCTACTGGACGAGGGTCTCCGACACACCACCGGGGTGTCCGCCCCCCTAAAGCACAACAGAGGTTTGAGGGAAATACGGGCACCCCTAACACCAAAACATGTCTCCACTCTACCGTGTCCTGGGCCATGTTGAAGAGTGAATAAGGAAGTGTAGCGAGAAGACAAATGCTACCGAAAACTTTAGGAAAATGGACACAAATGTATTCACTTCTGACACCTTTATTAAAG